CGAGAAAAACGATCATAAGCAATCCGATCCGACCCAACCCGATCCGATATGAGCCGATCAAAGTCGATTAGGCCCACGTCCTTAGGCCCCAACTCTAGTATATTGCACATTGTTGTGGTAATGTCGCCAACATCGCCCGCACCGCACAAGGTCCGCTCCAGTTAGAGGGCTATGGCATACAGTTCTCGCCGAACTGGGTGTATTCGCAAGGATTTTCGAGACCTCATGGCGATGCGTGTTACTTTTGCGTACATCGCCCAGGTTGCCGATCGCATGCAATCAAGTGATTGGTGCTGATTGTGTCTGATCGGGTCTGATTGGGCTGGTTGAGGCAGTTGATTGAGTTGGCGCGATCAGCTGATCACGATCAGCTGATTGCCCCCGTTTGCCTGAAATCTGCTACCCGCCTTCCTCGAAGTTTTTTATCACCTCTGATCGTGCCGATCAAAGTAGGTTGGGCCCACGTCCTAAGAGTGTCTCTTGCCAAACATGTGATTCTTTTCTCCTTTTCTGGAAAAACATACATGCGAAGTCGGGATCGCATCAGCACCAGATTGAAACAAAACTTGGCGGTCTGTTACACATTTTTCATCACTACCCAAGAACCCTCGCTCCTTGGCACTTACTGCTCCACACGATGTTTGCAGTGGCGTGATTTTGTTGGATGGGGTGCTTGAAAAAACAATTTGTACGTTTTTGGGGTGCATTGATTTGAGTTCATCCTGCCACTGAGTCGTGAAAATAAGACTGGAACAAGTATTTTCGGGGCTGGGTGTGAATCTGACAGTAGAGTAGGACTGCTAAGCACTTCGTTTTGTGAACCGCCTCAGCGCCACTGAAGTCGGAAGATCTACGATTGGACCATTCGGAAGTGACATCATATTGTCACCCTTTTTTTTCACTTGTTTTCCCTTGTAACTGATTTTGAGCGCTGTCGGGAGCTTGACGCAACAAAGAAGTGGCTAGGCAGCAGTATTTCACGCGTCTGGGGGGAGCACACTCGGGAAATGCTGTCATACAATGAAATGGTGGCAACAGCTGAAACACATGCTGACATCAGGTAGAACGTCTTGGAAATTCCAAGGGGAATCCCCAACCATCTTAGGGTCTGATCCATCCACGTGGTTTTCAGGATGTGGTCCTACCCAACCAGCCCATGCCAGCCCATGTACAGAACCAGCCAGCCCATGTATTGTACAGAACCAGCCAGCCCATGTATTTTACAGAACCAGCCAGCCCATTTACTGTACAGAACGATAAAGACCATGTGCACAGCGGAGAACGTTTTCCACATACAGTAACTGCTCGTTTATAGTGTACAAGCACGGGCAACCTATGCCTGCGAACACTATTGAAGTACAGTAGCCCTTCATTAAGACTGTATTTCCTTTCAAGCCGAAATTGGTCTCTCACATGCCCGCTTGGACACATTCGGTATTTTATCATCCACTTTCCTGCATTCTATTCACTGACAGCTTTGAATATACACATTAGTGCTTTTTTGACGTTTGTTTATCACAGCACCATAACGGCTGCAGGTTTTTGAGCATTCTCAAACACGAGGCACCTCACTTCACATGCGAGTGCACTTATTGGCGATAGCAGCTGCCAGGAAAGGGGGGCTGGGAGCGCGCGTGGGCATTGTCAACTGGAGCAGCCTCTATGCCACGGGATGTGAGCAGGCAGCGGAACATATGCAGGCGTGTGTGCGCTTGTGAGAGATGTGAGTCCATGTATGCCTTTGGGGACCAGAGCCGCTCTGTGTGTGGAGGGGAAGGAAGAGAGAGGCAGAGAGGGAGGAACGGAGGGATGAGAGCTGGCAGCGGAACATGTGCAGACGCGTGTGCGCTTGAGAGAGATGCGAGTCCACGTATGCCCTTGGGGACCAGAGCCGCTCTGTGTAGGACGGGGAGAAGGAGTTGGGAGAAAGTACGAGCAGGCAGGAAAACATCATCTCACCAGCACCACCAAACTTTGCGCTTGAAGCCACAACAGCATGCCCATCTCACCAGCAGCATGCCCATCTCACCAGCAGCATGCCATCTCACCAGCAGCATGCCATCTCACCAGCAGCAGCATCAGCAGCAGCGGCAGCGCGCGGCCACACAGTGTTGAGCAGATCAGACGGGTCCACCCTCTCCTCCCACATGCACGTCTCAAGGGTTGGGTTGACCCACAACCAGAATCATCACCCCTCCGGCAGCAGCGGCAGCTGCAGCACCACAATCATCTCACCTGCAGCAGCAGCAGCGCGCGGCCACACAGTGTTGAGCAGATCAGACGGGTCGACCCGCTCCCCCCACATGCACGTCTCGCCGCCCACCACCAGGTGCTGCAGCGCCTCTGGCACCCCTGCTGTTGGCTCCTGAGAATACACCTGAGTGCAACAGAGCAGAACATGGGCGGGGAGAAAGACAGGATGGTCACGTCCGGTGGTTGAAGTTAAAGTACCAGTCACATTGGCTTCTCTCCTCATGCTCGCCTGTTGAATCACGCTGACTCCCATTGACTTGCGTTGACTCACCTCGCTCCACGTATGGTCAATGAAGTCAAGGTACCAGCCACAACTGATACTGCTCCTGTCTACATGTTCTCCCATGCACTCCTGCTGACCCCCATTGACTCATGTTGACTTGCATTGACTCGCCTCGCTCCAGCTGCGGTCAATAAGGTCAAGGTACAAGCTGCGGTCGTTCTTGTCTCCAATCGACTCCCATTCACTCCCATTCACTCCCATTCACTCCCATTCACTCCCACTGACTCCCATTCACTCCCATTCACTCCCATTCACTCCCATACCCTCACGTTGACTTGCATTGACTCACCTCGCTCCACGTGCGGTCAACAAAGTCAAGGTACCAGCCGAGATTGAGATTGCTGAAGATCATGCGGAATCCAGACTGCACAATTGCGGGCGGCAGAGCCGTGTCAAACCTGCCAGGAGGGGAAGGGAAAAGGGGAGGGATGGGGAGAAGTTGGGGAGAGGATGGGGAGAAGTTGGGGAGAGGATGGGGAAGAAGTCACGCCCCCCATCCGCCCCTCCTTGCACCGCCCACCCACCAGTTGTGCACGACGGTGGTGGCAACACCAGACATGCAGACTCACACCCCCCATCCGTCCCTCGGGTCCAGCACCCACCCACCAGTTGTGCATGATGGTGGTGGCAACACCAGACATGCAGACTCACACCCCCCATCCGTCCCTCGGGCCCAGCACCCACCCACCAGTTGTGCATGATGGTGGTGGCAACACCAGACATGCAGACTCACACCCCCCATCCGTCCCTCGGGCCCAGCACCCACCCACCAGTTGTGCATGATGGTGGTGGCAACACCAGACATGCAGACTCACACCCCCCATCCGTCCCTCGGGCCCAGCACCCACCCACCAGTTGTGCATGATGGTGGTGGCAACACCAGACATGCAGACTCACACCCCCCATCCGTCCCTCGGGCCCAGCACCCACCCACCAGTTGTGCATGGGTCGACTCAAAAGTCACCTCGTTACAATGGCACACGACAGTTGTGCATGTTAAGAGAGGCGAGATCCAGTTTTTGAGTCGACTCAAAAGTCACCTCGTTACAATGGCACACGACAGTTGTGCATGTTAAGAGAGGCGAGATCCAGTTTTTGAGTCGACTCAAAAGTCACTTCGTTACAATGGCACACGACAGTTGTGCATGATAAGAGAGGCGAGATCCAGTTTTTTTTGCAAAAAACGGCAAACACCCATCCAAGCTCGCTTCCATCCCTCACCCACCAGTTCTGCACGATGGTGGTGGCTGGATCCAGGTCTGCTCCAAACACCTTGAATGGCTCCTCCCTGCCCACACGAGGCGAGAGTGTGTGGGAAGAGCATGTGGGGAGAGAGAGAGGAGAAGAAGGATGCACGATGTGGTGGCTGGGTCCAGGTCTGCTCCAAACACCTTGAACGGCTCCTCCCTGCCTCCATGCAGGGAGATTTTGTGGGGAGAGTGTGTGGGGAGAGTGCGTGGGGAGAGTGTGTGGGGAGAGTGCGTTGAGAGAATGTGTGGTGAGAGCACATGGTGAGAGCACGTAGTGAGAGCAACTTATCCAAAATTTCCTGGCAGCTAGAATGGCACCACAAGGAGCAGACATACTGAATCCAGCTGATGTACAAGCATGTGTCAAGAGTTATTCTTGCACATTCTGTCCTAAGATTGAAAGCAATCGCTATGGAGTCTGTATTGTTTGGGGCGATGATTTATATTGGCAACGGACGTAATCTTATGGCGGTGGGAAGAGGTGCTAGTGCGAGGAGAATGGCGGAGACGAGGTGAGAGGAACCGACTCGCATGATGCGGAAAGACGGAGGGTAGAAGGATATGGGACAAGTGTGGGGAAAGAGAGAAAAAGGTGTGTTTTGAGGCGCCTCAAAACAATCCTCAATGCAGACGGAGGGTAGAAGGATATGGGACAAGTGTGGGGGAAGAGAGGACAAGTGTGGGGGAAGAGAGGACAAGTGTGGGGGAAGAGAGGACAAGTGTGGGGGAAGAGAGGACAAGGGTGGGGGAAGAGAGGACAAGTGTGGGGGAAGAGAGGACAAGTGTGGGGGAAGAGAGGACAAGGGTGGGGGAAGAGAGGACAAGTGTGGGGGAAGAGAGGACAAGTGTGGGGGAAGAGAGGACAAGTGTGGGGGAAGAGAGGCCAAGTGTGGGGGACGAGAGGACAAGTGTGGGGGAAGAGAGGACAAGTGTGGGGGAAGAGAGGACAAGGGTGGGGGAAGAGAGGACAAGTGTGGGGGAAGAGAGGACAAGTGTGGGGGAAGAGAGGACAAGGGTGGGGGAAGAGAGGACAAGGGTGGGGGAAGAGAGAGAGGTGGCGTGGCACGCACCACACGACAGTGGTCTGCCATCCAGCCTCCACGGCCAGTGCCTGCACGCGCCTCACAAAGTAACCATAGCCTCCCTCTGCTGTCAGCTTGCGCTGCTGCAGCCTGGTGGAGAGGAGGAAGGGGAGGCGGGGGATTTGCTTTTGAGTCGACTCATATGCTGTCAGGTTGCGCTGCTGCAGCCTGGTGGAGAGGAGGAAGGGGAGGAGGGGGATTTGCTTTTGAGTCGACTCATATGCTGTCAGGTTGCGCTGCTGCAGCCTGGTGGAGAGGAGGAAGGGGAGGAGGGGGGTATTGAATGCCAGGCAGAGAGGGGGGAACAGGTAGGGTTGACTTGTGAAGGTGTTTTTATACGAGCATATTGTTGAGTGTGCAGCGACCATGTGGGAGTGCGGCCATGTGGGAGTGCGGCCATGTGGGAGTGCGGCCATGTGGGAGTGCGCCCATGTGGGAGTGCGGCCATGTGGGAGTGCGGCCATGTGGGAGTGCGCCCATGTGGGAGTGCGCCCATGTGGGAGTGCGCCCATGTGGGAGTGCGAGGTGTCCCGAGATTTGAGTCCAAGCGCACACTCGACAAACGAAGGACCAACCCGCGTTTATCCATGGTCAGCGCACCAGCTCAGCAACCCACAACTCACAAGTGAGAGCTCAGCTTTTCAGCAATTCACCATGCCCTTATGGCGGGAGATGAATTCCAACACTCTGATGCGCGGCCGAAAGGCGCTGAGAGAACTCTAAGAACACTCTGCAATGAGCGTCCGTCCATGGTCAGCGCACCAGCTCACAGGTCAGCGCACCAGCTCACAGGTCAGCGCACCAGCTCACAGGTCAGCGCACCAGCTCACAGGTCAGCGCACCAGCTCACAGGTCAGCGCACCAGCTCACAGGTCAGCGCACCAGCTCACAGGTCAGCGCACCAGCTCACAGGTCAGCGCACCAGCTCACAGGTCAGCGCACCAGCTCACAGGTCAGCATCTCACCATGCACTTATGGCGGGAGATGAATTCCAACACTCTGATGTGAGGACGGAGGGCGGGCGGAGGAGAAGGGAGAGATGATTAGGGAGAGGGGGACGATGGGGAGAGGGGGAGCAATGAGTCGTGGCTGAACCATGAGAGCAAAGAAGGGGCAAGGGGAAAGTTGCAGCATAAGGGACAATAAGGAACAGCAAGAACAGTGGCAGCAATGTGCGGTGGCGATGAGACAGTTGGAAAAGTTGGTTCGTGCGTGCGAGCGTGCGTGCGAGCGTGCATGCGTGTGTGCGAGCATGCGTGCGAGCGTGCGTGCGTGCGTGCGAGCGTGTGTATGCGCACCAAAGCTGACTTCGTCTCCCCCCAGGTGAATGTGGGAGCTCTTGAACACTGCACGGAGGTCTGGTGGAACAGGGGGACAGGGGAACATGGGAGATGAGAGTTGGAGACAAGGGTTGATAACTGCTTTGCACGCACACACACGCATACACCTTGCAACCCCTCATGTCAGGTACGAATCGATGGGGTTGGAATCGATGGGGTTGGAATCGATGGGGTAGGAATCGATGGGGTTGGAATCGATGGGGTTGGAATCGATGGGGTTGGAATCGATTGGGTTGGAATCGATGGGGTTGGAATCGATGGGGTTACACCTTGCAGCCATACCTTATACACACGCATGCACCTTGCCACACCACCTTACACACCTTGCCACACCACCTTACACACCTTGCCACACCACCTTACACACCTTGCCACACCACCTTACACACCTTGCCACACCACCTTACACACCTTGCCACACCACCTAACACACCTTGCCACACCACCTTACACACGTTGCAACACCCGTTTTATGAGTTGGAAGGTGAAAGGGTTCGAAACAACCCCCTTGCACACACGAACAGACCTTGCCCCACCCGTTGGCGCACACACGCACCTTGCAGCACCCCTTTTATGAGTTGGAAGGTGAAGGGGTTGGACACATCAAGAGGCTCGGGGCAGGCAGCAGCTGGCAGGAGCGTTGGGTAGCCCACTCCCCTGGGGAAGGGGGAAGGGAGGGAGAGAGGGGGATATGGGAAAGGGAAATGGAGAGGAATGAATGGGACCGTGAGTGAGAATCAAAGGCCAGGTGGGAAAGGAATATAGTGGGAGAATCATAAATGATTAGGAATCAGAATGGGATGGACTCAGCACACGTTCTCCGTCAGAGATCTGTAAGGGCTACTTTTGAGGCGCCTCTAAAATCATTCTCTGTCAGAGATCTGTAAGGGCTACTTTTGAGGCGCCTCTAAAATCATTCTCTGTCAGAGATCTGTAAGGGCTACTTTTGAGGCGCCTCTAAAATCATTCTCCGTCAGAGATCTGTAAGGGAACAAAGGAGGAGAGCCAGAGAGGTGACTTTTGAGTGGAGTGAAAGGTTGAATGTTAAGGGAGAAAAGGAGGAGAGCTGACCATGAGGTAGCATGCGCTGGTGAGTCGAGTTCAGGTACCACCATCACCCCCTAATTGGCGTGTTTTGATTCAAATCTAAACACAGCAGGAATATAAGGAGGAGAACTGACCATGAGGCAGCGTGTGCAGGTGAATCGAGTTCAGGTACCACTATAACCCCCCTCTCCTCCGCGTATCTGGCTCAACAAGGTTAGCGCCACGCAGAAACAATGCATAGAGACAGATTAATACAGATGATATGGAATGGGAAAAAGAGGAGGAGGTGGGGAAGGGAGAGAGGGAGGTGGCAAGAGGTGAAGGGAGGAAGGTGAGAGGTGGCACGACCAGTCAGCAGCAGAAGTGGCCCGAGGTGACTGGCAGGCAGGAAATTGCAGCACAGGTGACCCGAGGTGACTGGCAGGAGGAAATTGCAGCACAGGTGGCCCGAGGTGACTGGCAGGCAGGAAATTGCAGCACAGGTGGCCCGAGGTGACTGGCAGGCAGGAAATTGCAGCACAGGTGGCACGAGGTAGCAAACCACGAGAGCAGCGACGAAGGAGAGGTGACTTTTGAGTCGACTCAAAATGACTTATGAGTCGACTCAAAAGGTGACTTTTGACTTTTGAGTCGACTCAAAAGGCAGGCAGGAAATTGCAGCACAGGTGGCACGAGGTGGCAAACCACGAGAGCAGCAACGAAGGAGAGGGCAAAAGAAAAAGGCAAGAAAAGGATGTGTAGAGGGAGAAAGCTAGCAGGTACTGACTGCACGATGTGGCGCATGTCATCAGTGGTGTAGCGCTCAGAGGGAGAGGACTGAATCGAAATAGCACATCAAAGGTGTGCAGGGAAGAGAGAGGAACGGGAGAGAGGGAGGGAGCGGGGTACAGCAGGTACTGACTGCATGATGAGGCGCATGTCATTAGTGGTGTAGCGCTCAGACGGAGAGAAAGGGAAGAGAAGAAGGTGCATGGAAGAGGAGGTAAAGGAAAGAGGGAGGGGAGGGGCAAGAGAGCAGGTACTGACTGCACGATGTGGCGCATGTCATCTGTGGTGTAGCGCTCAGACGGAGAGAAAGCTCCGAGCCAGAGGCGAGGGAAGGAGGGCGTCTCGATGGGGAAGGACTGTGAGTCCACCATGTGCCAGTGGCTGGTGGGGGGTGAGAGGGATTGGGGGAGGTTGGGGAATAGGGGGGAGGAAGACAGGGGAATGAACGGGGGAGTGCATTAATTGCAGGGAAGGTGTCTCGATGGGGAAGGACTGTGTGTCCACCATGTGCCAGTGCCTGGTGGGGGTTGCGCGGGTGAGTGAGGAAGCACAGGCAGGGCGAGGAGGGAATTGAGGGAGTGTGATAGGGCGTCTCGATGGGGAAGGACTGTGTGTCCACCATGTGCCAGTGCCTGGTATGGGGTGCGGGGAGGGCGGGAGGAGGAGAGGTTGGGGGGAAGTGAGCGAGCATGGGGAGGGAAATGAGGGAGTGAGAGATGGGGTCTCGATGGGGAAAGAATGCGAGTCCACCATGAGCCATTGCTTGGTGTGGCAGAGACTGGGGGCGGGAGAAATGGCGGAACCAAATGTAAGAGGGGGGGGCATGCACCCACGGCGTGCACTCATGCCATGCACCCATGGCATGCACCCATGGCATGCACCCATGGCATGCACCCATGGCATGCACCCATGGCGTGCACCCATGGCATGCACCCATGGCATGCACCCACGGCATGCACCCATGGCATGCACCCACGGCATGCACCCTTGGCATGCACCCATGGCATGCACCCATGGCATGCACCCATGGCATGCACCCATGGCATGCACCCATGGCATGCACCCATGGCATGCACCCATGGCATGCACCCATGGCGTGCACCCACGGCATGCACCCATGGCATGCACCATGGCATGCACCCATGGCATGCACCCATGGCATGCACCCATGGCATGCACCCATGGCATGCACCCATGGCATGCACCCATGGCGTGCACCCATTGCATGCACCCATGGCGTGCACCCATGGCATGCACACATGGCATGCACCCATGGCGTGCACCCATGGCATGCACCCATGGCATGCACCCATGGCATGCACCCATGGCATGCACCCATGGCATGCACCCATGGCATGCACCCATGGCATGCACCCATGGCATGCACCCATGGCATGCACCCATGGCATGCACCCATGGCATGCACCCATGGCATGCACCCATGGCATGCACCCATGGCATGCACCCATGGCATGCACCCATGGCATGCACCCATGGCATGCACTCATGCCATGCACCCATGGCATGCACCCATGGCATGCACCCATGGCATGCACCCATGGCATGCACTCATGCCATGCACCCATGGCATGCACCCATGGCATGCACCCATGGCATGCACCCATGGCATGCGCCCATGGCATGCACCCATGGCATGCACCCATGGCATGCACCCATGGCATGCACCCATGGCATGCACTCATGCCATGCACCCATGGCATGCACCCATGGCATGCACCCATGGCATGCACCCATGGCATGCGCCCATGGCATGCACCCATGGCATGCACCCATGGCATGCACCCATGGCATGCACCCATGGCATGCACCCATGCCAAGCACGTTGAGGGGGGGTTGCACTCACAGCACGTTGAGGGGGGGTTGCACTCACAGCACGTTGAGGGGGGGTTGCACTCACAGCACGTTGAGGGGGGGTTGCACTCACAGCACGTTGAGGGGGGGTTGCACTCACAGCACGTTGAGGGGGGGTTGCACTCACAGCACGTTGAGGGGGGGTTGCACTCACAGCACGTTGAGCTTGGCATACGCCATGGAGTCAATTACCCTCTCCATCACTGGCACTGGCAGGAAGTGCCTCGCCGTGTCTGGTGGGGTTGATGGTGGGTGTAATGGTGGAATAAGGGGATGGCAGATGCGGATTTCAGGAAGTCTTTGAGAATTCTCAAAAAACACCCTGCAGGATTACAGGGAGCGGCAGGGGGGTCTAGTTTTGAGGCGCCTCAAAACTAGAATTCTCAAAAAACACCCTGCAGGATTACAGGAAGCGGCAGGGGGGGTTGCATACCAACCAGCAATCCTCCATAGGTTGGAACAAAGAGCGAGGTTACTTTTGATTTTACCCAATGGACGAGCACGAATGCAGCACCCCGCCACAGGATGGTGGTGAGTTGGTGACCATGATATGACTTGCCTATGAGCAGCCCGCGGTGCTGGAAGCGGGGGGCATCGCGGATGAGGAGGGGCGAGCGACTTTTGTGTCGACTCAATACTCAGTCTGTTGCTGTGCACGAGCACGACTTGCCTATGAGCAGCCCGCGGTGCTGGAAGCGGGGGGCATCGCGGATGAGGAGGGGTGAGCCCCGGATGGTGACCACGCGAGCCACGAAGTCAAACACACAGAGCTGGGAGAGGGTCTGTGGGCACAACGCAAGAGGGAATGGCGGGACGCGCAGGCGATTTCTGAGCATTCTCCATCTGAGTCGCTTTTGAGAATTCTCAAGAGCGAATTCTCAAATGCCACCTGCAACGACAAGGTCAAAGGCACAGAGCTGGGCGAGGGTCTGTGCAGCACAAGAGGCAGTTGGGACGGGGGGGTGGGTGATAGAATAGGGCGATAGGTGAAAACGGGAAGGGGATCAAGGGGTGCAATTTAGAACTGGGGGAAAGAGGAGAGAGAGGGGATGGGAGTGAGGGAAGAGGAGGGGAGCTTCTACCGCAAACAAAGGGGCAGGGGGAAGGACAAGAGCTCTATAGGCGCATATCAAAATGCACACATGATTACGAGCGGAGGTGTGATGCCTAGATGATGAAGCGTGGTGAGCAGATGAGGAGCGATACGAATCAGGTGTGCAGGCATGGCCGTTGATGACTTGTGCTAGAGGGCGCAGAGGGTTCACCTCTAGTGCTCGCAATGCTCCAATGGTGGTGCTGGCCTGCAGACCGGCAGACGGAGAGAGGAGTGAGACAGACAGATACGCAGACAGGCAGACGGAGAGAGACAGATGCACGAGTATTCATTAACGGAAGGAGTGAAGGAGGAGAAGGGTTGGCAGCGCGCGTGAGGGGCAGAGCGCTGACCCGAATGGTGGCAGAGCGCGTGAGGGGCAGAGCACTGACCCGAATGGTGGCAGAGCGCGTGAGGGGCAGAGCACTGACCCGAATGGTGGCAGACATGTTGGCAATGGCATGCCCGTGGCGTGTAGAAAGTTGTGGTGGTGCATGTGGGATGGATAGCTCGTAGCTCTCGTCCACTCCCATGTGCAGCTGCACGCATCACCATTCCGTGCCATGCCATGCCATGCAAGGATGGTCATGTCATACAGGTCATGCCATGCATTGATAGTCACAACATACAATGCCATGCCATGCCATGCCATGCCTTGCCATGCGATGTGAGGCAGCGCTCATTCCATCATGCCACACAGAACAGAACGAAGCAAACTACAGCCGAGAAGATAAGCCCATGAATGAGCACTGGGACACAAGCAGTGCACCACTCCTCTCTCTTACCTCCGCCTCGGCGTCCTCCACATGCACTCTCACCCTCTCCATCACCGTCACTCCCTCCTCTCCCTCCTCTCCTCTCCTCCTCTCCTCTTCCTTTCCCGCGACTCCCCCACCCTTCCACTCTGTCTCTTCCCCCTCCGTTTCCGCATCCAGTCCCCCTTCCGCCGCGTTTTTCCCCCCCAGACGGCGCCTCTCCGAACCGCCATGGTTCTGCCCGCCGCGTCGCCGCGAATAGTCATGGGCGAAGATGATCCCAAGGTACCGTTCAAACGCGCGTCGCAGCACCTCCGCATTCACCTCCCGCCTTCTCCCGTTTAGCAGGCTCGGCCCTCCACCGAAGCTAATGTCGAGCCTCAGGTTCGGGCTGACTACAACCTCTCCGCTCCCTTCCGCCGCTATTTCCACCGGCATGGGCCACAGGCGCAACCCCACGCCTCCCCTTCCGCTTCCCCCTGCGCCATCACCAGGCGGTTTTCCCCCATGCCTTTGCGCCTTCCTTGCGCGCCTCTGCTCCGCGCGCAGGCGGGGGAGCTGCACTACCCGCTTGTGCCATTTTTCCGAGCTCTTCAGGCTTTCACTAGAAGCACTCTCTTCATCACGAAAACGACTGAAACGAACGAAATCACTTTCATACGAATTCGCGTACGAAGGTAACTCAAATTCGCGCGGTTCCGCGAGTCCACGTGGCTGAGAGTGAGCCACGTCGGACTCTGACGTGTACGAACGCGAGTGGTTCGAAGGCAAGGGAAGGATTTCGAGCTCGAGCAAGAGAAGGAGCAGCGCGGCTGCTAGGGTGAACGACACCCACGCGGTGTGCCGGCGGAAGCGGGAATCGCGGCTCAAGTCTCCCGCGACGTTCGTAAGATGCGCGCGAGAGGACGGGGAGAGGCGGGATGATGGGGACGGGAGGAGCGGAATCTCGTGATTCGACACCATGGCTCTACCTGCAATTCCAAATAATTTCTCTTGGGATTAGCGGAAGTTGAAAGGTGTGCTTTGGGATTTGCGTCCCCTGTAAAAGCGGTTCTGCTTGAACCGTTTATGCTAGCGAACAGTACTGGCGGTCTGATTGTCAGATGTAAATCGTTTGACACTCAACAAATTGATAATATGACATTATTAGCGGGACGAACTTTGGTTAATAATGCACCAAAACACACTCCAACATCCGATTTGACAAGCGTGTGCTAATGGAAATTCTTTAGCACCCCCTTATCAGTACCACACCACATCAATTTGCAAGTAGAACCACAATAATAAAACCCCAATATAGGTAGAACTTCCAGGGATGTACATCCAATCCAAATCCAGTCCCCGTCCACCTAGCCTCTTACCCACTGCTTGCGAGGAACCAATGGCAACGTGAATTGAACAAGGCACGGCGCTTCAATGTTTGCCTCTTCATTGTTGACGCAAACCTCCCCTCAAGGCTCAAGCCAATTATTGTGGTCATTCAGATGCAATGCAAGGCTCGTGTGCTCCCATGAATGGAAGGGGGCTCGTCGTGTGCCCACAAGCATGGATGGAAGGGGGCTTGTGTCGTGTGCTGACATAAATGGAAGGAAGGGGGCTCGTGTCGTGTGCCCACATGCTTGGAAGGAAGGCCGGTTGGTTCGGTTCAGGCATAGAGAAAAAGACTGAAACAGCACTGTTTGGATCTGGCTGGGGGCAAAAGTTTTGGTTTCGAGGATAGGAACTGCAGATGGCTTGATTTGTGCATGAAGAAGTGACTAATCCCAATGCAGCACTTATTTGAACTAGTTGTTGGAGAACTGGGACATTTCTGGCTAAAAAAGGCTTGTAGTTATCCAGTGGGTTTGGTAAAAAAAGGGATGTGAAGTAAATTCAAAAGTCGACTAAAAAGTCGCTGAAATGGCCAAAAGCGAATGACTGATGCCAGATATGCTTGGTGAGCTTTCAGTCGGGGGTTCAACTCATGAAGGGCTTAGGTTCGATCAAAGCAGCAAAGAGGGAAAACAGCACAAGGCTCGTTCAGAAAGCGTAAAGCTCGGAGGGAGTAACCGCCCGAGCCACCACAAAGGTTCACCTGTGCTGGCACAGGAGATTCTATCTAGGGGTCAGATCTTCGGCTGAGTCTCATCGTAATGTGCTAGTTTCTAGGGCATGGGTGTTGGGACCCAAGTCCCTGGCCCTGCTATGCCCCTAAATCCTGGGTCGGGCTTGAGCGGGAAAGTCATGGGTGTGAGAGGCTGTGTCAGCGACAAGGCTCTGTTGCTGCTGCATAGTGGGGCATAGCGGATTGATCAGGGTAAATCAGGCATGGGCATGGGCATGGCATGGGCATGGGGGATTGATGAGGAAAAAACAGGTATGGTGGAGAGATAAGGGCAAAGCACGTACGGGTACTGGCACGGGAGTGGGATGGGATGTTTGATGAGAGACACTGGGTTTAGTGAATGGGCCATCGACAAACAGAAGCTGTCTGCAGGGTGACAAGGCGGATGGAAGATGGGTGGCACGGTGCGAGTTCAACGCAGGCTTGGTGTGGTGGGGAACACAGCTAGAGGCAAGAGGCAAGGCGTAAGACATGTGGTGTGAAATATGGGATATGGGGTGTGGGGCACGAGGCATCGGGCATAGGGTATGGGGAATGGGGCATGGGGCATGGGGCAGTGGGTATGGGGCAAGGGGGAATGGGGCGTAGGGTATGGGGTATGGGGCATGGGAGATGGAAGATTACACCAGGTGGTGGGATGTCATGGAGCCCACATGCATGCCATGAGCCCACATGAAAGTCATGGAGCCCACATGCATGCCATGAGCCCACATGCATGCCATGAGCTCACGTGAATGCCATGGCCCCATACAGCACATGAACCCATCGCATCCGCACTTACCACGAGTGCCGCCACCTCGCTTGCATCAATAAGCATCACGCCTCTCCGCGTGCCTCTCAGCAGCGGCGGTGCCTTTGATGACAAAAGCATGGATGATGGCCTGAGCCGCCTGCACCTGGTCCGCCGACCCCACCACCTCCACCACCCGCTCGCTCTCGCCCTCCCTCCCCTCATACATGCGCACGCGCGCCCCTGAGATCTGATGGGGTGAAGCATGTGGGGAAAGAAGTGAAGGTGGGGCCAGAAGGGAGGGGAGTGGTCAGCTATGGTGTTGGTTGGGTGTCATGCTCGCTATTCCCTTCCTGCCCCTTGTACATGCGCACTCGCGCCCCTGAGATCCGCACAGGTGAGAGGGAGAGGGAGGGATGGGGGGGAAGAACGAATACGCTCTCTCGATATCTATCTAGTAACCTGATGTAACTTCTGCCCAAATACCTCCGAATACTATCAATCGAGCCTGTGTTTCCATCCACTCTCCCTCCTCAGTACATGCCTCCAACTGCATACCCCCACACCACACCCCCCTTTCCCCCATCGTACACCCCTGAATCCAACCCCCATCTTCCTCCCCCTTCTACCCCCTCCCTGTCATACGCTTTTAATCTGCTGGATGTTGGCTCCCCCTTTACTGATAACCGCCCCTGCCGCCACAGCCGGCACTGACACCAGCGCTGTCATCACTCCCCCCCTTGCCCCTCCTCCCCCACCCCCCCTGTACGTACGCTTTTGATCTGCTGGATGTTGGCTCCCCCTTTGCCGATAACCGCTCCTGCTGCCACAGCAGGTACTGTCACCAGCGCTGTCATCACTCCTCCTCCTGCCGCTCCCCCTGACCCACCAGCAGCACCAGCACTGGCACTGCCGCCACCAGTAGTACCACCAGCACTGGCAGCAGCAGCAGTGTGAGTGGGAGGAGGCGAGGAGAAGTGGGCAGACGCGGGTGCAGAGGCATGTGAGTAGCTGCATGCAGAGAACAGGGGAGGGGGGTGTGGAGGGGGAGGGGGAGGGGAGGAGGGGTGGGACGGAAGAGGAATCAGGAGGGTGCAGAGGCATGAGAGTAGCCGCATACAAAGAACAAGCAAGGGTGACGAGGAGTGGGAAAAGGGAAAGAGAATCAGACAGGGGATGGGGAGGGGGGTGGAAGGGGAAATGTAAGGTAATTCAGTAGGGGATGATGAGGATGATGGCAGGGGGATGGGAGGGAAACAAAAGAAGGATAAAGCAGGGGTTTGAAAGGCAGATGGAGGGGGGATGGGAGGGAAACAAAAGAAGGATAAAGCAGGGGTTTGAAAGGCAGATGGAGGGGGGATGGGAGGGAAACAAAAGAAGGATAAAGCAGGGGTTTGAAAGGCAGATGGAGGGGGGATGGGAGGGTAACAAAAGAAGGATAAAGCAGGGGTTTGAAAGGCAGATGGAGGGGGGATGGGAGGGTAACAAAAACGGGGATGATGAGAAGCTTGGGAGGAAGATGGGAGGTAAAGAAAAAAAAGGATGCACGCGGCATGGATTGCAGTGGGGGATGCAGAATGCAATTCTCGACTCGATCGTAAGACGCACCTGCCATACTCTTGCGCTGCTGCCGGTGCCACATCCCAGCCAGAGCCCCTGTGTGACGAGAGTGGTACAAGGACACCAGAAGCGCGGGGGGGAAAAGAGAGGCTAGAAACGGGTACGGCATAACTCGGAAGCAGAGAAGTCTGCAATGAGGAGAGGCGTTACCTGGGAGCAGGTGTTACCTGGGGGCAGGTGTTACCTGGGGGCTGGTGTTACCTGGGGGCAGGTGTTACCTGGGGGCAGGTGTTACCTGGGGGCAGGTGGCAGGTGTTACCTGGGGGCAGGTGTTACCTGGGAGCAGAGTAGCCCGAGTCATGGTAGGAAGGCTCCACCTTTGGCTGCTCAGAAAGGAGGGGTGTGCGGAGGAGAGGAGAGGGGGGTGAGAGAGGGAGGTTGATTCTGAGTCAACTCGAAAAGAAGAGATGCCAGAACCATGGTAGGAAGGTTCCACCTTTGGCTGCTCAGAAAGGAGGGGCACGCAGGGGTGAGGAGGGGGGGTGTGGGAGGGAGGAGAGAGGGACAAAGAGGGAGAGGGCGAGGAAGGCAAAAGAGGGAGAGGGCGAGGAAGGCAAAAGAGGGAGGGAAAAAAGGGAAGTTGGGAGCGAGACAAGAAAGGGAGAGGAGGGAGCGAGAGGAGGGAAGCAGGGAGCGAGAGGAGGGAAGCAGGGAGCGAGAGGAGGGAAGGAAGGGAGGGAGGGAGAGGAAGGGGGGAGAGGGCGGGAGGAGAGGAGGGAGGGAGAGGAGGGAGGGAGAGGAGGTACGGAAGGGGGGGGGGGAGGAAGGGGGGAGAGGAGGGAGAGAGAGGAGGGTGGGGGAGGAGGGAGTGGGAGAGAATGAAGGGAGGGAGAGGAGGGTAAAAATTGACAGTTGAAGAACCAGCGGAGGGAGTGAAGAATAAGTAGAAGTGTGACGGAAACAGGGACTTTGATTCCACTCATTTTCTCCGCCTCTCATTCTGTGACCCTCGCCCCACACATGCATGCATCACCTCACCACCACAACAATAATGCACCGCTTCGCACCGCAATGCACCTCACCTCGTATGACCACCCAACAGTGCCATCAGGCCCTGCAGCAGACAGAGTGGCCACCACGGCTGGCGCCGCTGCTGCTGCTGGTTGTGTTGAATACCCATACGCCCCATCCCCTCGACTGCTCGACCCAGGATAGCCGTAACCCCCTCCCCCTCCCCCTCCCCTCCCTGTCTCCGCATAACCACCCCCACCACCAGCACCAGCACGAGCACCACCAGCAGCAGCACGAGCATCACCGGCAGCAGCGCCTTTAGAGGCAACGGCGGTTTCCCTGCCTCGGATGCGTGCACAGATGAGGCGCAGCGCGTGGGACACACAGTGGGGCTCGCCTGATACCTGGTGGGGGCGCGGGGGGTGGGGAGGGAGGCTGAGGGGGATGAGGGGAGCGCAACTGCGCTTTTAACGGTTTCCCTGCCTCGGATGCGCGCACAGATGAGGCGCAGGGCGTGTGACACACAGTGGGGCTCGTCTGATACCTGGTGGGGGCGAGGGGTGGGAGGGGAGGGAGGGGGAGGGGAACGGGTGTGGAGACAACACGAGCAGCACCACCAGCACTAGCAGTAGCGCGGGCATCACCAACAGTGGCGCCTTAATGGGTTTCCCTGCCTCTGATGCGTGCACAGATGAGGCGCAGGGCGTGTGACACACAGTGGGGCTCGCCTGATACCTGGTGGAAGAAGACGGGGGGGGGAGAGGGAGAAGAAGACGGGGGGGGGGAGGGAGAAGAAGACCGGGGGGGGGAGGGAGAAGAAGACGGGGGGGGGGGAGGGAGAAGAAGACGGGGGGGGGGAGGGAGAAGAAGACGGGGGGGGGGGGGAGGGAGAAGAAGACGGGGGGGGGGAGGGAGAAGAAGACGGGGGGGGGGAGGGAGAAGAAGACGGGGGGGGGGAGGGAGAAGAAGACATGGAAACACACAGTGGGGCGCGTGACACCGGAGGAGGCGCCTGATACCTGGTGAAAGGGGATCGGGAGAGGGGAGCAGGAGGAGTGAGAAGGTGAGGGAAGGAATGCAGGCCAGAGGGATGGAGACAACGACAGCAGCTAATGCAGCAGCAGCAGTAGCAGCAGTATCCACCATCCACCACGCATCACCCACCAATCAACACTCAAGACCCACCCACCACCACTCACCACGAGCACTTCGTCGCTCTCATCGGCGCATTTGGGCAGCTGATCCCTGGGTGGGATGTTGATGCGCGCCCTGCTGGTGCTCCTCAGCTCGCTGATTATGCTGCCGCCCTTGCCCATCACACACCCCACCTGGCGAGGCCACAAGGGGAGAGGGGTGAGGAGTGCGTGACGAGGCACATGGAGAAGAGGCACATGGAGAAGAGGCTGACTTGAAGCTGCCAGACAGTGACTGCTGCTTGACCCGCTCACAGACTACTGCTAAAGTTAAAACAATCTTCTCCTCTCGTGCACCTGCCCCTTTTCCCTGCTAACTGGTAAAACAAATTCCTTCCTTCCCCCTTCTCAACAAACTCACCTGCCCCTTTCTAACGAGCAGTCGAGCAGTGACCCCGTGGGTGTCTCTCCCGCCCTCCTCTGCTGCCCCTGCCGCCCTGTCGCCCGCATGGTGTTGCGAGATGGCTGCATGCACGCGGAACAGCGCCTCCTCTGTGGGTGAGTGGCCGGAGAAGGGCGCCTGGGGGGGGAGTAGAGGGGGAGAAGGAGGGAGAGGGGAGGATTGGAGAGGGGGAGAGCGTGAGATGGCTGCATGCACGCGGAACAGCGCCACCTCCGTGGGCGAGTGGCCGGAGAAGGGCGCCTGGGAGGAGAGAAGAGGGGGGGAAGGAGAGAGAGAGGGAGGGGGGGGGGGGGAGGGTGGGAGGGTGAGAGCATGAGATGGCTGCATGCACGCGGAACAGCGCCTTCTCCGAGGGCGAGTGGGCGAGAAGGGCGCCTGGGAGAGAGGCACAAGGCGAGGGCAGAGGGGAGCAAGCGAGCATGAGAGATCGAGAGGGTAAGTGCGAAGGAGCGAGATGGCTGCATGCACGCGGAACAGTGCCTACAAACCAAGTAGTCAACGAGTCAACTGTCCTTTCATTCACCTCCATGGCATCAATGATCACGATGCGCTCATTCCTTCTGAGAGAATGCTAAGAGAACAACCAGCCAACGAGTCAACAAGTGAGTCAACCAGTCAACGCACTCACCTCCATGGCATCAATGATCACGATGCGCTCATCACAATCCGCCACGGCCTCTGTCACCTTCACTCGCGCGCCCGTCTCCTCCTTGATCTGACGCCCACACCACACCACCCGTGCACGCACGCAACCCATGCGAGCAAGCAAGCAGCCAATGCGAACAGCCAATGCAAGCAGCCAATGCAAGCAGCCAATGCAAGCAGCCAATGCAAGCAGCCAGTGCAAGCAGCCAATGCAAGCAGCCAATGCAAGCAGCCAATGCAAGCAGCCAATGCAAGCAGCCAATGCAAGCAGCCAATGCAAGCAGCCAATGCAAGCAGCCAATGCAAGCAGCCAATGCAAGCAGCAATGCAAGCAACCAGTGCAAGCAGCCAATGCAAGCAGCCAATGCAAGCAGCCAATGCAAGCAGCCAATGCAACCAGCCAATGCAAGCAGCCAATGCAAGCAGCCAACGCAAGCAGCCAATGCAAGCAGCCAATGCAAGCAGCCAACGCAAGCAGCCAATGCAAGCAGAGGAACGCATTGCAAGCAATAAAATCCATACCATTGCAACGGAGCAACGCAAGGCACACGAACACAGACCCAGACCATCGTATACTGCCAGGCACCCTCTCATTTCTTCTGCTGTTTTCTCCTTTGCTAAACCTTCTCCTTATAAACTGCAGCTCGCTGGAATGTCTGATCACACGACCATCGTATACTGCCAGGCTCCCTCTCATTTCTTCACCTCTTGCACTCCCATGCATGATGCACCCTCCCCACTCGCCACTCGACCTCACCCACCTGCTTCGTTACAGTCACACCCACCTGCTTGATCCGCGACCCGCCCTTGCCAATCACGATCCCCACTTTATCCGCGGGGCACAGCACCCTCAATTCCATCTCCACCGCCGCCCCCTCCGCGCCTCCCCCGCCCCTGCCCCCGCCCCCCATCCCCCCATAACAGTGCGCCCCCCCTGCTGATGCGCCCGCGCCCCACGCTCCCCCGAAGAGGGACGGCGCGGCTGCGTAGCTTTGGGGGAGAGCGTAAGGGGAATAGCCTTGCGGGGGGAAGGCCGCAGCTGGGGCGGACCGAGGGGGGTACGAATCAGCTCCACGGTGGTAACCCGACGCCTGGTAACCAGGCGCCGGCTGGTAACCAGCAGGCTGATGGTGACCAGACGTGGGGTGCATGGCGAGGAAGTTGGGGGGATCGCGAGGAGGCGAGCGGCGGAGGCGGATGGAGATGAGCTCTAGGGCCTTCTGGACCACAGGATACTCGCCAGTCACCTGCCACGTGGCAACACGGGATTGGACGAAGATTGGACGAGACGTGCATTACGACGGAGTTGTAACATGGATTGAGACCCCACAAAACGGCCGGCCAATATTTAGACCGCTGGCGGTTACAATCGACAACCGCGTACCCTACCTGCATTACTGAGTCGACCCATTTCTAAGAAAAAGTCTCTGTGCATGCACGGTACACGCATGACAAGAACGTCCTGTTGTGCGCGTAGCCGCGTGTTTTGAGACGTCTCAAAAGTCTCTGTGCATGCACGTAGCCGCGAAACGACTGCGGGCCTGCGCTGACTCGATTTTCTAGGAGCCTCAAAGGCCGCGCACCTGAACTAACTCGTCCGTCGGGAGTGCGCAGGGCGGCAGTTTGTCCTTATTGAAGATCCTGATGTGCGCGCCGCTGTCCTGCCGCATGCCCGCAATGATAGAACCGCCCTTCCCCAGAAGACACCCGATCTGACTGCTCGGCACGAGCAGCCTCGCGGGGGTCCCTCCGCTATTGGCAGCTCCATTACTAGCACCACCTTCTGCCCCATCCTTATCGCGAAACTCGCGATTGTCGCCATCCGCGTCGGCGATTCTCGCATGCACGCGAATCAGGGCTTCCTGTGCGACGGACCAGTCGTCCGGGCGATCCACAGCCGCGTCGCCGTCAGTCGCAGGGTCGCCGCTGCGAAAGTGTTTGTCGCTACGAGCGGAGATGATTATAACGCGTTCGTCCGTGCCGGGGATCGGATCCGCGAGCTTCAGGCGCGCCCCGGTGGATTCGCGAATGCTCTGAATGATCACGCCGTGCTTCCCAAGGAGCGATCCGATCCGCGCCTGGCGCGGTGGGGAACCAAAGGGTTTGAAGGATCAACGGGGATGGATGGGGAAAGAATGGAAAGAATGTGATGTGGCGAAAAAAATGGATTTGCGGTTCGGAAGTGTTTGCGGAAAGGATGTGGATGCGGAAACAACAGGACTACGCGTGTGAATGACTCTTGAGAGCTTGAGGTGAGCCCCATCGAGTCGCGAACGATATGAATGATCGCGCGGTGAGAATGGATCCGTTGAGAAACGGTTCTAGGGCGAAAATGCTCATAAATTTTAGGCGAAAACGATGCGACGCGACTTCGACGCCAGGACTCTGACCAATGCGTCTACTGTCGTGCCTGGGGGCAGAGGATGCGGAAGACGACATCCGCGTCGCTCCGCTCGTCCCGCTCGCGCCGCTTCTCCCGGCCGTTCTCGTGGTGGTAGTCGCCGGCCCGCTTAGACATGCTGACTACGGTGTTTCAGAGGCCTGGGGAATGTACTGATGAACTGGAGAGATTAGGAGGTTCTCACTTGCGATGTACGGTTCTTAGTCTAAACTAAGCCTTTGACCTAGAGGTTGGCCCGAAATGCACGCCGAGCCTCTTTGTTCTACGTGCCGCCGAACCTGGATAAATAGATTCGGTTCGGTAGAACCCACAGATATCTGCTAATAGCAGGGACATGTTGTATTAAGTCAACATTAACAGCATATTATTTAATACAGAATAACATTTAAGCCTAAAACTCCCATTACCAGCATATATTATTGAATTCATCATGTTATTACTGATCATTCCCATGAAAAATCCTCAACAATCATAAGCACCCCAAATTACTTCATTTACTATCTTGTGGGTGATCAGACGACTACTTCAACCTGTTTATTACGAACGGCTAACCAATGTAGAGATGCCATTCTGACCTGAACGCATGCTTCTCTTATCGGTGTACGCATCCCTTTTCAGGGAAACAAGGTCAATGTTGCAGTTGCATCTTCTGACTTAGCAGTTGTACAGATGATGCCTACCCCATGCACGCGAATTCGCTCTGCACCGGATGGAAACGCTGCACACGATGTTTTTTCCCCAGCCTATTGCACCCACGGTACAAGCGCGTCGCGTGGTTATGAACCAATTGTAACGAACAGGCCGAAGTCAAACTGAAGAGAGTAAAGTCAAAATGTCAACGGACAAGGTTACAGATCCTTTATATAAGCATCTGCGAATCCTTTTTAGCTAGCTGCGAATTGACGAAACTTATGCGAAAAGAACGATACAGCTTATACGCCCCCTTCACAAGGCAACCGGGAGGGGCTCAATCGGGCATCGTGTGTACAGCAATGAAAGTTTTCCTTCGATGGAGGTAGAAGAATCTTTTTGCCCCCCATCGCTTCTCAACTACGCGAGTTAATTACTTGTGGATTCTATTTTTTAGGATTTCCCCACTTGCCCTCACCGAACGTACAGATGATGCCCAACCCCTGCACGCGAAATCGCCTTGTACATTCCAGAAACCTTGCACCCGTGGGTTTCCTGCCGCGAAGTTGCACCTACGGTACAAGCACGTCGACCAATAGGAAAGCCAGGAACGAAAGTCTGACTCATAAGACTGCAGTCAAAGAGTCAACGGTGAGTTACAATTGTTTTTTATAAGCCCTTTTTGCCCGATGCGAATTGACGAAACCTCCACGAAATGCATGAATCACTTATAGACCCATAGGGAAGGCCGAAGTCGGGGGGCTCAACCGGGCATCATGTGTACTTGCGGGTGATTGAGCTGCTGCTTCTCAACTAGGACAATTTCGTACTGTACTCAAACTGAAAGGAGCTGAGTGCGTGTGTACAGTTGGGACCCAACTCTTCCACCCTTTCTTAGGAATCTATTCTGTGTTTCTTGGTATGCACAATCGCCATTTCTTTTTTCAAGTGCAATTCGCCATTTTTATCCAGCAATTCTGGGGGGGTGGGACCTTCCGAAATCACCTTTGTAAGGTCGTTCATGCGCAAAAAGAAGAAACATTCCCGATCTCTTGTCAGGTCAGCCCCTACCTTTCGCCTCGGAAAGAAGAAACGTTGATCACACGTGCGCACAACACAACTGGCCCACTTCCCCACCTCCTCGACTGCGTTTTCTGTGGCTGTAGGTCATCCATCCTATTCCCCCAACTCCGTAACTTCAGCCCACAAACCCAACGGCCCACCAAGTCCACCCGTCCACTCCGCTCACTACCAATTGTTCATTCTGCCACGACCACTTTCACACTGACGTAACTGATGCCCCTTTATCCTAGATGGAATGCTAGAATACAAAAGTGGCAACATGGATTAGGAAGGTGAGATGGAGCTCTCCTTCATGATGGGCGTGACAAAAGCTTGAGCTAGGCTAAGGAGCCATAGCTAGTTAGAACAAGAATTGGGTATCGAGCAGTTGAGAGAGTCGAGAAGTTTCAACAAAAAGGAGCGGTTTCACTATAGAGTGAGGAGTACAAATAGGCAAGAAGAAAGGTGCACCACCAAACAGAACATTGTATAACTACAGTAGTCTACACTACAGGCAGTTACAAAAACAATATATAGAAATATATATTATTCTTGACACGCCCCCATAAGTGCCTGTAGGGAAGAATATGCAGTCAACGCCCCCATAATGGGGTACACGAGGCAGAGTCGGCGAGTGTATGTCTGTTTATTTACTGGCTATACACAGGCTTCACGCGCCTCCTTGTGGACAGATTGCACAGAAGATGGTGAAGACATTCGTGAATGTTAGGGGATTTGTCAAACGGTCGCGGCGAGATCCAGAAGATACGGCTGAAACAAGACATTTCAGTACCCCCGACAAAGGGACTTGGCTGGAAGAGGCGCAGGCAAGTAGAGGCAAATGTTCCCAAGCGTCACATTGGACTCTGATGTGAGTTAGTCTGACTCTGTTAGTCGCCTTGTGTCGTTGTCAGGCGGAACTGCCGGAGGAGGATTCTATGGTGCTGGGTGTCATCTCGTACAGCGACAGCACTTACGCGTCGGGGAACGGACGCCTACAGGCATGGCCAATGTTGATGGGTTTGGTCAATGTCCCGGAGGAGTTACGGTGGCGTGAGCCTGGGCATGCGCTAGTGGGTGTGCTCCCTTTTCCGCCGGAGTGGGCATCGGCGACGGAGAAGACGCGGGTGTATCAGGAGGCGTATCGCATCGTGATGGGTCCGCTCATGCGTGAGAACCGCGAGTAAGTGGGCCGAATGCATGCTCTAGGCCTGTTCGAGGCGAACGGGGTCATTGTCGGTTTCTAAGACCCATCAAACGTATACGTGGTGCATGCAAAGGTCCTCTTCGAAGCTTCGATGTGTCTGACGGCCGGGGAGGTGTCGTCAAGGCATATCCATGCCTCTATGCATTTGTTGGCGACTATCCGGAAGGGTGCCGTGCCACAGCAACGATGCAGCAGGCATCGCACAGACCGTGCTCGAGCTGCTACATCAAGAAAGGGCACCTTCATGACCTGTCAAACAAGTCAATAGTGCGCACTGTGAAGGGAGAGCGGCACGCGGCGGCGAAGATACTGAGCGCTACGACGGTGGAAGGCGCTGCAGCGATCCAAGCCAAGTGGTCTACGCATCCGATCACGGTGCGCGCTCGATGTTTGTGTGTTGCAAGTCACATGGCCGCGGCCATGATTGTAGCGGCTTGATGTTGCTTTTTATGATGAGTCTGACAGCACCATCCAACGTGCAGAGCGTCCTGGAGCGCTGGAACTTCTCTGAGACGAAAAGGGGTAACGTCTTCCTGGCGGTTGTTGGCGACATATTGCATGTGCTGGATTCTGGGGTGCTGGTGCAGATGGCCACCTGTTTCATGGAGGGGAAGTCGAAGGCCGAGATTCGGGGGTTTGATCAGTGAGTACACAGAGATTCTGTGAACTGTTTTGTATGCGGTAGTGCGTCCGTGGCGGAGCTCACCACGGGAACAATCCAATCTCGTTGCTTGTGTGTGATTGGTGCGTGGAACAGCCGCAAGTTTGGCGTGAAGGGCGAGACAAGGAGTGTCTTGGTGCGCATCCCGGGTGGCTCCACCTTTTTCCGCAGCGGGGCGAATTACGCGGCGTTCGAGTATCGTGGCATGATGCAGGTTTTCCCTATTGTCATTTCCGACCTGTGTGTGGGGCGCTCTGCGGAGGAAAGGGAGCAGAGGGATAAGGAGGTTCGTGCCTTCCGCTACTATGCGGTCTTCTACAAGTCCCTGCTGGCTGTGACAAAGCACACGCGGCTCACAATCGCCATCGCGAGGCAGCATGGCATCTCGTGAGTGAACACGATGGCCACTTGTTTCGTTGCTACCATAGGCTATGTTGTACAGTGTGGTGATTCTTCCAATGGTCGCACTACAATGTGCATACAACTTTGTGTAGACTGGTGGCTGCACTGCAGGCGGCTTTCCCGAGGCAGAAGTCGAAGTGGAACTTCGTGAAGCTACACGAAGTTGTACACCTCATCAACGGCATATCCATGAGGGGTTTGCCGCACGAGTATTCCACGGAGCTGTGGGAGCATACCCACAAGGGCACCGTGAAGTGCCCCGTGCGCGGAAGTAACTGGAAAGACATACCAAGGAGGATTGTCGAGGAGGAGACGCAACGCGAGATCACAAGGGAGATTGCGGCGCTGTCAGGAGGAGGGAAAAGTTACTACACCGCCCTGCGAGAGGTACACAATGCGTGGCCGTGTAGTGTTGGTGGCATTTGTTAAAGGCACGCAGGTGTGCGAGGTGATAAGGGTGTAATGACTCCACCGGTTCATCCCATGCGTGCTCACAACCCACCTCTCAGGCTGTGAGAAGCATGAAGCCCGCGCTGACCCGCACAAGCAAGGCCATGTGTCTCATGACGGCTGACGATCCACTGCGGATGCTGTACAGGGAGACGGTGGGCAACGAGTTTGACAACATGGCGACACTCATGGCCACGGAAGGCCTTCAGACTTCACGTGTGTTGGTGAGACGCTGTGTCATGTTAGTAAACCGGTAATCAAGCTGATGGCTTTGGTTGTAAAGAGGTTGGGCTGTTGTGTGTTGGACACGTACGTGAAGAGTCGTCATCTTACAATGTGTAACTCCTCATGCTAACCCACCCATACCCGGCAGGTGCACACCGCAGTGGCCATCCCTAGCACAAAAAGGGGCTACTTGGTTCCGAAGGCGATGTTCGTGAAAGCAAGCCCGAAGGAGAACTGGTTCACCGACATTGCAATACCGGGAGAGAGGGAGGAGGAGGAGGAGGAGGAGGAGGAGGAGGAGGAGGAGTGGTGGTATGCGCGGTGTCTTTGTATTTTCAGGGCGGTGAACTACAGCGGGGAGGAAGGTGCATATGTATTCGTGAAGTATTACGAGGAAGAGGGGGTGTGTCCCCAGACACTTTGCCCCCAACTGGTGCCGGGGCGGAAGGAGGCCACGCACGGGATCATTGAAGTTGCATC